CAAATATAGGGATTTTCTGTGCGCCTTATAGTCCGAAAAATACGGTATATATATATATATATAGTTTGAAAAGAGACTCCGAAGGGAGATTGAACGGGCCACAACTGTCGCTATGCCAACGCTTACTCAGTGAACATTTTTATAAAGCAATTGGTAGAACGTTGATAGCCCTGTTATCTCTTCAATCTTGCATGTATACACAGTGGTGAATGGTTTTAATTGAACTGATCCTTTTTACAGTCCCTTGCAAATGTTTGGGGTGAATATTTGTTACTCTAAATTTCGTTGTTTCCCCGTTGTTTCTTTTAATGTTCTGGAATCTATGCTCTTTAAATTCGCACTTCTCTCTACCGAAACACTGTCCATTTCAGGCCAGTCTTGAACGGTTCTTTGCCAAGACGAAGGTCACATGCTATGATGAATGCTACCCGGGTTTCGCCGAGTCCTACGATGCCATGGGCGACTCAGATGATGAGGCTGACTTTAGCAAAATGGATCTGGGCAACAAAAAAGGTCCTGTCGGACGATGGGACTTTGAAACTCAAGAAGAATACAGTGATTACATGTCTAACAAGGAGGCTCTTCCCAAAGCCGCGTTCCAGTACGGAGTGAAAATGGCTGACGGTCGTCGGACACGAAGAATTGGTCCAAAAGATGAGAAAGCGGAGTTAGATCGTCAGTTGCAAAAAATCCAATCGATCATCCAAAAACGAAAACAACTTGCTGAAGATGGTGGACCGGTGGCAAAAAATCCGCGATTCTGATGCTGTCACTTTTTCTTCTGTTTACCATCATTTGTCATCCTGTGTATATCTCTTGGCGAATGTTCTCTGCAATCAAACATTTGAATCGTTTTATCACGCCATGTATAATACGGTTTTCTTCATTCATTTGCTTCCCATTGACACGTTTCCCAACAGTACGTTTGTTTTAGTCTGGGGGTTCACGATGGGANGGGGGGGGGGGGGCATTCTGTAGTCGTTTAGTGGTTTGACTGCTTTTGCGCTAATTGTGTTCGGTTGAAATGGAATTGTTTTCGAGGGATCGGGCTTGTGTTGTTAGTGGTCTGCATTTTCCGCACTTTTCTGGGTCCGGATATTGTCAGGAGGGTAAAGTAAAACTCCTGGTATCCAGGAGAGGATATCTAAACCAATCTGACAGCTAAAACGAAATGGTATCACCAATTGGTTCATCTATGAAAGAAGTATATCGGTCGGGACCACAGTAACTCAGCTATATGGATTTCCTAAGATAAATGAGGGCGGATACCGCTGCGTCCCATTTTGAGTGAGTTATTCTCCGCACCACGCTCTGGTAAAGTGACTAACCGATCTACTCGAACCAGTCGAAAGAGAAATCATCAACATCAGCCTACGAATCTCCTTCGACTTTATCCGTCACATTGCACCCATCAACTTAACCAATAAACAGATATTTGCGCTGGATTTTAGCAACGTACCACTCCAAGAGACGATTGAATTCAATGGCAATCATATAGAAAACTCTGGAAAATCTGTTGAACCACTCGCAGATGAGCTCAGGCGACTTCTCTATCTATGCACATATTGCAGACACTTTCAATTCGGTAAAATAACGTATAAACAGAAAGATGGAATAGCCATGGGTTCGCCAACAGGGACCACTATCAGCAGACATCATGGCCAAATTAGAAAACGGAGCATTCGGAAACCCATGGAAGAATCTGCCTTTTACAAACATGTGGATAAAGTCATATGTGTATAGCTGACAAAGATATCGATATTCTGTTGGAGATCCTCGAAGGAGCTCATCCGAAAACAGAGTTCCCATTGAAAAAGGTATCCACAGATGGTCTCTTATTTCTAGATGGTGTTGCCTCGACGTGCAGATTGCTCCATCTGTAGAACCTTTCATCATTAGAAAATATGGACGGGACATCACACACAATACATAAGCTTTATCCGATTGCAGCAAAAGAAAAATCTGCTTAACCACTGGGGTTTCGAAACCTTGTTCTTTGGACTCTATCAAAACTGGAAGGAATGTAAGTTGTTTTTCTAGTGCATCGATTTTCTAAATCATTCATCCATAAAAGCGTGATCAATCACTCAAGGCATTATGGGACCCAGCAAAGAAGAAACTTATCTACATCCCATTCAGAGGAGAAGCGACTGCAAACAATATTAAGTAGACGAATTCAATCGTCCCTCAAATTTACCTACTTTGCAGCTGAGCCCGGCATTATGTTTACGGTCAAACCTTTTTTCAATCAGACCAAAGATAGATTGCCCTTGAATAAATCCTCGTTCTGTGTTAATCAGTTCACTTGCTCCAATGGAGTATGTTATTTAGGTCAAACGGTGGGGCGTCATCTCTCTAGCGGGTCGACAAGGACATGGACGACGGCGATTACGAAACCCGATGACTGCGTTTAATCATAGTAAATATCCTTGAGGCTTTCCTTCCTCTGTAGCCGGTCAAGGGAAGGTTATCTACAGAGGTCAAATCACGAATTGTCAACAGCCCATACAATCGTTATCCATACCCCCTGGTGAGCCCAGAAGCAGTTTGTAAGAACATTGGTCTTACCATAGCCATCCACTCGCGATCTGGTGACGTAAACTCTCACTCGTTCACCCACCTTCCGTGAATATCATCACAATTACATCAAATCTGATTTTCTTCTCAGATGTGCTTCTCCTCTCACCGCCTAATTAATTAATTATCAATTGTGCTGTATTTAGCCAATTGCTGTAACGCCCAAAACAAGCTTATTCGCTAACTTGCCTTCTCATGATCACCCTGTTGGGAATACTTTCGCAGCACCAAAAAGCTTGTAACAAGGAAATCATTCTACGCTCTAATCGAGGGATCAGTGCTTTCTGGTTGCCCAAAGCAAAGCAGACTATTTGCTTCATATTGACCAACGCCTTATCCTGCTAACCAAGGTAGCAGGGTGGTGTGTGAAAACTGCAGACTTAGGAGTCATTACCCAGCCGGTTGTGCCTTCGGATGTAGTTCACACGTGCAGGGTGTTTAATGCGTTCATTCGGACCGCTGACCATTGCGACGAGGATCACTCTTAGCCATTTCATAAGCCCTTTATTGCGAGGTTTGGAACGACTGCCTCCAGAACTCCGAATTAGTCCTATTCCGAAAGGTTCAGTGTCCAACTCTCAGTTTTACTACTACAGATTTAATCGGCAGTTGAGGGTGACAAGATTTCCATAGTCTGTTGGGTTGCTTGAAGTCAGCTTAGTTGCACAGGCGCATGCGTATAATGGCCCTTTCGTCAGATATAAAATTCCCATCGTCGCTGTTCGTTTCCCATTCTGAACTGAACTGGTATCCATCCTGTTTCAACATGACCCACAGGGAGCCGTAAAAGCATAAGAATGTCTTCAATTAATGTGCAGATTGTCAGACAACAGCTGCTCCAACCTGTTTGAATTTTCCCTTGGCGGTGGGTGTTCATGGGTGGCCGGTTCACTTTTTGGTTAAGCATTGCTAGATATCACTAGCCTTTGGACAAGTTCCGGAATAGATCCAGTCGATCTAGAGGCAACTGAGATTCCTAGCATACTCTTCGACAATCGCGATGAGTAATATTAAATATATAAGTATACAAGTATATTAAGTAGCACAAGCTGTGCAGCAGACTAAAGTGCTGAAACATTAAAACGAAATCACTTGGTTGTTGTTCCTATTTTACATTAGCCCACAGACGCTCTATTTGTATATTCTTTGGGGTTGTTTGCAATCCATCGATCGTGGGGCTAGTTATTGTTTTATTCTATGGCTAACAGAGTGCGGTTATTCACTTGAACATTGGATGTGGGAAAAGGCCATCGGGTAATCCAAAAAGGGATCATTAGTACTCTGAATAGCTGAGTGATAAATGTTAACCAGAAGATCTTTGTCACCGATCGAAACTGACTCGTAAACCTAAAACATCCGAACGACCATTTTGACCATTCTATTTTTCATCGGAAGATCTTTTTGGCTACCATTTTTCGTGACTTTTCTGGTATTGGATGCTTTGTATCCAATCGAAACTTGGTTTATCAGTATTCCATACACAAACGCGGTGGGCTCAATTAACCCTTTGCACCCCGACGAGTTTCTGCTCCGCGAACAGCTGCATTGTTTCCACACTAACTCCCAAGGATTCCTCAGCAAATTTTCAGAGATGGAACTGCATTGCCAAACTGGTCGATGGGACATTATTACAGCCACCGAAACCTGGCTGACAACCAAAATTCTGAACTCAGAATTACTCTTACTCGACCTGAATCTGCTCATACGCGATCGACCTACAAGGGGTGGTGGGGTTTTACTATAATCTAATAGCAAACTACAATGCGAGGTAATTGATTATCCTGCTGCGGCTTCTAACTCATTGTGGTACAAAGTACGACTGTCGTAACACGATATCGGCTTGATTGGTGTGGTGTACTTCTCTCTTTCATCCACAGACTCAGCCAATGAGACACTATTGCAAACCATATATCACATTCTATTTTGCCTGTTCGCCGAGCTTGGCAATTTGTTTGCAGACGTTTCATCACCAGCCGAGGTGACATTACTGAGGTTCACGTATGTTCTCATTATGAGTGACTTCAGTTACCCAAACCTAGCTAAATCAGCGATCTCTATACAACCGTTTGAGAGGAAACTCGCACAGCTTATGGAATCCTATCCACCTTACAATTTTTTGGAGGAGCCAAACAGTCATCTTCGGTTTTGGACTCGGTGTTAGCTAATGAGGAGCTGATGGTGGAGACGATTTCCACTACAACTCCATTAGGGCATAGTGATCATGCAGTGCTGACGTTCGGCTACATTTGCTACGTATTCGTACCGCACAATTCCACGGTTAGCTCCTGCTTGTTTGTTGACTATACCAAACTTAAAATTTTGGAGAGAGATTTCCAATGGAAAGTTACCAACGAACAATGTGATTTAATGGTATCCTGGGAAGAATTTACAAATCACCTGACGGAAATGGCGAAGGGCGTGATGAAGACGAAACACTACCTACTCAACTGGTCAAAGATCAGCGATTCGAAGTCTAACAAAAAAGTGAATTTCGCAGAGGAATATCTTATGGAGAGCTTATAAATGATCTTGCAACAACACATGGTATACTGTCAACTTCGAAACCACTGCACCAAGTTGGAGCGAGAAGACAAGTTAATACACCAAGGAATGCTCATGCGCAAGTTCATATCAAATCCCAAGCTGTTGTACAAACACCTGAATGCCACCAGAAAAGTTAAGTCTGGCGTTCCAGCACTAAGAGTGGCAGAACCTCTTTCAGCCACGACAAAGGAAGCAGCTGAAATGCTAAGAAGTCATTACGGTCAAGTGTTCACCGCAGCTGTGAACACCGGACTACGACTGCCTCTGTTATTGGAGGATATATCATATCCAACGCTCACCACATTTGATTTCCCCCCAGAAATCGTAGCATCGAAACTGCAATGTTTGAAAAAGAATTCATCTCCGGGAATAGATAATATCCATCTGAAAACACTTACCAACCTGGCAAGTAACTTAGCTCAACTATCAAGCGAACTTTTCCAACAAATGTTCGACAAAACTGTGCTCCCAAGAACCTGGAAACAAGGAATAATTTCTCCAATATGCAAGGGTGGCTGTCGTAGTGATCCAGTTAACTACCACTCCGCTACTTTCCTCCCCGTATTATCCAAAGTTATGGAATTCATTGTTGCAGACAATGTGATGAGTCACTGGGAAAAATATGTGTTATCCCGTGCTCAAC